CCCGCCGAGACTGTCCCCGGCTTCATGGGCTGGAGGACACGGCACAAAGCCTTGGTGGCCGGCAACTCGCCAGGTTCGGGATGGAGGCGAGGGGCTGAGTGGCCCCGAAGCAGCCAGGAGCATCCTGTGCCCCAGGGAACAGGGTGAAAGCAGCTGTGGAGGTGCACCCCAAAACAGCACTGGGCTGAGCCCCCGCTGGCGGGCGATGGACACAAGCTGCACCCCTCACTTGAGTCTTTTGATGAGGCTGCTGCTGTCCACTGCATTTTGGGGGGACATTCCTCCATGGGGCAAAGAATCGGCAGCTTCAAGAAGCGGCTCATTGTCCTTGGGTGGCGTGGCCAGGGCTGAGCAGCCCAGCCCAGCTCAGGCCACCGCAGCACGGGAACAAAAAGCCTCCTCTTCTCCAGCCATCAGCAACCGGGCGTCCCCGGCTGGCGCTGCCCCCGAAAAATTTATGGCATGAAGTTTGCAAACTGCGGAGAATCCAAGCACTCGGCGGCTGGTGACCCTGGGGATGTGGGGCTGTGAAGGCAGGCGTTGATCCGCAGGGATGCGGCAGCAGAGCCACCCGAGGGGAGAACGGCTTTTGGCAGAAATGAGGTTTCCCAACCCAGCCATGGTTTTGGTTCACACACGGTGGAGCAGGGCTGATGCTGCTGCCCGTTCCCACCCGCCTGGCCCTGCCTGGGGGTTCCAGCCTGAGCCCCAGCAGCTCCAGCCCCGCGCCCGGCACGTAACCCAGTTAGTCTCAATAAACATTTAAATTAAATTAGTTAAACTACATTAAGCCCCTGCGAGGACACGGTTCAGAGTGGAAACGGCCTTAATGTGATTTCAGCTGACTTCCCTGCCACGATTTGCAAGTCAGAGAAATCGAATTAAGGCTGTTTTCATTCTAAACTCTGTCCACACAGGCCCATAATGCAGTTTAATTAATCTGCTTTAAAACTGAGCCTGTCTTTCATTCAGGCAAGTTCCCCTGACTCACCCTGAAGAAGTAAAAGCCTCCCAGGCAGGCGCGGGACTCGGCTGTGGGTTTGAGGATGGAAAGTCCTGGAGGATTTAGAGAAACCCAGGATTATCCCTAATCCCATCAGAGAATAATCTGGGGTCGAGCTCCACGCAGCAGCAAGCGGCAGCCGCCCGCGCCGGGCTCCCCAGCGCCCGGTGAGCCGGAGCATCCCGGCTCTCTGCTGCCCGTGGGCGCCGGGACCAGGGTTTCTCGGCTCTCCTCGATGGTTATCGCCGCTTAACAAAGTTTCCTCCTCGGTGGAAGCGAGCAGCCAGCTGAAAGCGGCTGCATTAAGCCCCGCGCCGCTCCCAGGAAGGCTGTAATGGCTGGTAATTGCCGGCCAGCAGCTCCGAGGAGGCTGGGGCTGGGCCAGCGAAGACCTTGGCCCCCCAAAACCCCCAGGCCCTTTATCTGCCCCGCATCCTCCAGCTGCTCCCCATCCCCTTCCTCTGGCTCCCACCAAATCTGAACAGTAAGTGGGCTGCTCCGCTCTCCGGCACCAAACCCCAACCCCGGGGGATGCCGAGGACGCCCCGCCATGCGGGTTCGCTCCCATCCTCCCTTCGCTCCCAACGCCCATTTTCTCTGCGAAGGTAAAATGGCCTCTCCATAAAGGAGCTCCAATTAAAAGGGAGTTAATGACTTAATGAATCATAACGAAATCTGCTTGCATTAGCACATGAACCGCTGACCCTCTCTGGTTGTGGCTACCAGCTTCTTAATTGCATACCTTTTTATTTCCTTCCCAGCAAATTGGCTGCTCGTTAAGCAGGGGGGGGCAGGGGGAGCAAGCAGGGCTCTGGGGA